TACATACTAATACTTTTGATGTCATTTTTTTCACATGATGTCCTTTGATGTGCTAGATTCTTCAACTGAGATAAATCTGTACAAGGATCTTGACTGCAGACAGCATGCTATGGTAGATGTATCCTTTTAGGCAGTTTATAACTAATAGGGGTATGGTGKGTTGGGTATAAATTCAGAGTAAACTACTCATGTCCAAACCCTGGATCCACCCCTGATTAACCTATATCTATCATGCGCCTATCCATAGCTCAATCAGTCTAATGGATGTTTTTTATTTTTTCGTTTTGCGTCAGAAGATAAGCTTAAGTTGTCGCGATTTCCTGCTGATTGTTATTATATTTCAACAATATACGAATGAATCAAAATGTTTCGGCAAAATTTTTCTTCGGCATTAAAACTAAACTAGTCCTTCACTAAAGTAATATATAAATGAAAATCATTTGTCTCTTATTTAGTAAAATAGTCCAGTGAAAGCCGTGTAATTTATCAAATACTTGTTCGACCGTCAGATCCACAGTCGATGTCTCTTCGTCCTGTCACTAATATCACAAGCAAATTCCTTTGTAATAACACCATCTTCTCACCTTAGCGTACTCAGCAGCGAGCTTTTGGTACTTGGCTTGAAGGTTTTGACCTTCAGCACTCATTTTTTCAGCAAGAACTCATTAAAAAGACACAAAACTGTCAATAAAACTGTTTCCAATCATTTGGCCGCCATCTTGGATTGAACGCCCTGGACACTATTGCACATGCGCTAAACCAATACCACAGGAACCCCGTTTGGGGTAAATCAAATGAACAACAATAAAAAACCTTGCGATAATAATAATAACAATAATAATAATAATAATAACTTTATTTCGCACAGAATTCAGAAAGCTAACCACTTATTTACACTGAAGCTGTGCATAAGAAGAAGAAAAAGTGCGATAGAAAAATAGTGCGACAGAAAAAAAGTGCGATAGAAAAGACCAATCAGATTACATTATTTTTGAATTTCAAATGACGTAAACAAGATGGCGGACGACTGTTCTACTTAAGCATAAGAGAATAACTGCTCGAAAACTTGTTTTTTATAACATGGGGACTCATTTTTAAGGCGTTTTTTACCTGAACTGAGCAAGTTAAGTGTATTTYCTGTATTATTCTTGCTTTTGGACTTGGTTTGTGGAGCGTAATCAAGCAGATTGATGGTGCAATAGTTTGTTTTGTTGTGTAAGCAATAATTGTTACATTCGTTGAAGGAATATATTAAGCTTACACCAGTTTCCAAGAAAATATTAAGAAAGTATCGAGATGGAAGCTGAATCCAGTGCTGTTATCTCCATTAATGAGAATCCTATGGCTGAAAGGAATGTTCATGAAGAGCTACATGAACCAAATATCCAGGAAGTACAAGAGGAAGATGATATGAATGCTCAGTCGCAAAGCACAAAGAAGAAACGGAGAAGAAGACGAAGGAAGAAAGGAAGCACAGGAGACATTGAAGAATCAGCGAGAAATGATGAACCTGACAAGAGCTTAGAGGAAGAAAAAGAAGGGGTTGAAAAACCGACGAAAGAAAGACCTACGTCTGCTGCAAGTAGGATTTATCTTAAAAGCAAGAAGGATGATAGTGAAGGGGCAAAAGACTCTGCCGTAACCCCAGTAAAAGACGAAGAATCCGAAAATGGTGATGAAGAAGATGGAAAAAAACCTGGAAGCGGCAAACGCAAACGTAAGCGGAACAGGAAAAGGAAAAATACCCTTGAAGGTGATGTAGAAGGTGGAGAAAAAACTCCTGATTCCAAACCTATTGAACCCAAACCAACTAACTCGACACCAAAGGGGAAAGATCAGAGTCCAAGAAAGCATGGATCTCATAGCCCAATGAGTCACAAGAAGAGAGGTTACGAGACGTACTGGTCGTTTGAAAAGGTGTCTCAAGGGCTAAAAAGGGGAGAACTGTTAAAAGGTTCAATAAGAATCGGTAAAAGGAACTTTGAACTTGCTTGGGTAACAGTACAAGGGATGAAAAGAGATGTTCTACTAGAGGGAATGTTACCCAGAAACAGAGCTTTGGAGGGAGACGTAGTTGTGCTTCAGCTGGAACCAAAAAGCAAATGGAAAGTCATGAAGTCGGAACTCGACGACCACCAAGCAAGTGTTAATGCTACAAGTCTAGAAAATGAAGAGAAGAAGGATGAAGATGTGGAGGTTCTGGCCCAAAAACTTGGCGATACTCATTTGACTCCAAACAAGAAGTCATCATCGCCTTCATCGAAGAATGCGACACCAAATAAACCCCGCAATGCTGATGTTCCAGAAGAATTCCTTCAAAGRACGGCTTCTGTTGTTTACATCATCGAGAAAAAGCATTCACGTGCTGCAGGGGGACATTTGAAGCCGTTCAACAAGAAGAACGAAGGAAACCCTGATGCTCTTTTTTCGCCTTCAGACAGTCGGTTACCAAGGTTACGCATTCCGCACGATCGTTGCCCACCTTGCTTCTTCGACCGACCACAAGATTTTGCAAACACACTCTTTGTTGCACGAATAACCGACTGGCCTGAGAGCTCGTCATTCGACAATTATTTCGCGATCGGGACGATCGATAGAAGTCTGGGCGAGGCTGGCGAGATAATGCCGGAAACGGAAGCAATATTCTACGAGTATGAGATCGACTTTGAGCCTTTCTCAGACGAAGCTCTAGCTTGCTTGCCCCAAAAGCAACCATGGGTTATTCCAGATGATGAGCTAGCCAAGAGAAGGGACTTCAGAGATGAATGCGTTTTTACGATCGATCCTCTAACAGCCAGGGATCTTGATGATGCGCTACACTGCAAGAGACTTCCAGATGGTAACATTGAGGTAGGGGTCCACATAGCAGACGTAAGTTACTTCGTACGACAAGGGACCGCATTAGACGAAGCTGCTCAAAGTCGTGCTACCTCGACCTACATGGTACAAATGGTAGTACCTATGCTTCCAAGAAGGCTGTGTGAGGAGCTCTGCAGCTTAAACCCAGATGAAGATAGACTTACAGTCTCCGTTGTGTGGACGATGACTGAAAAGGGTGAAATACTAAACGACTGGAAGGGACGTGGTGTGATCAAGTCACGTGTCAAGTTAGCTTACGAGCATGCGCAGGAGATGATCCAGAAACCGAACAAGAAGTGGGAAGAAGGCGAGCTACCACCTATCTCCCAAAAAAGCAATGTGGAGGAAATTTCTTCTAAAGTTCGTCTTCTGAACAAAATTGCTGGCCATTTGAGACGTAACAGGTTTAGTAATGGTGCTCTGCGACTTGACCAGGTAATTTCCAGTAACTGTACTCATATTATAAAATATTACATTGCTGAAATCGCATCAGCAAATATTATATATTTTCTTGATAAGCTCCTGCTGGGTGGTAGGTGTAGGGTGGGGTGGGGTGGTTTTTAATTTAACATGGATTTCGCATTCTATTATGTATTCTTTTTTTGTATATTTTGGGGAATTTAAATTATAGATAATGAGTAGGTGTGGGGTTGGTTTGGGTGRGGTGGTTCAGTATATTCTTACATAGATTTCTACACTTACATAATATTTTTAGATCTAGAATTTTATCTGTATTGTATTATTTAGATTTTAGTTTAGCACGTGCACGTTCTAGCCAGACTTTATTGTAAGCTCCTGTGTGTCTACGTGAATAGATAAATAACTTACTTACTCACTCACTCACTCACACACTCACTCACTCACTCACTCACTCAATCTAATGTTTCTGATGTTTAAATATTAGGTGAAGCTGCAGTTTGATTTGGACAAGGAGACTGGGATGCCTCTAGGCTATCACGTATATCAACAGCGAGAAAGCAACAAATTGATCGAAGAGTTCATGCTCTTAGCCAACATGGCTGTCGCCCATCACATCTACTCTGCATTCCCAAAGATTGCACTATTGCGTCGTCATCCAAAACCTGGACAGAGACAACTAGACGAATTAGTAAAACTCTGTAAGAGCCATGGTATTCCGTTCAATGCGCAGTCTTCAAAGACGATCCATCAGTCTCTTGCGAGGTTTCAATCGGGATCCGCAAAGAGGGAAATCCTTGTGCAGTACGCGATGAAGCCAATGAAGAATGCTGAATACTTTTGCGCCGGATCAGTAGAAGAGGATGATTTTTATCACTATGCTCTAAGTGTCCCGTTTTACACTCACTTTACCTCGCCCATACGAAGATACCCAGATATTATTGTTCACCGACTTCTTGTAGCAAGTCTTGGGCTGGACGTTAAAGTCGRTGAACAAAAAGACGACATGGATTATATCGTTAAGCAATGCAACGACCGCAAACTTGCTGCAAAACGTGCTGGAGAGCTCAGCAACGAGCTTTTCTTTGCTATCTTTGTCCGAGAGTGTGGTCCTCTGGAAGACGATGGTTTTGTACTAGCAGTGATGGATCAGTCATTGGATGTCTTTATGCCAAGTCTAGGCGTCACCAAAAGAATTTATTGTAAACATATCCAGAATATCAAGCGTTACAACTTCCTCAAGGGCGAAGAAAACCAACCAGCACAACTAAAGCTTGTCTGGGCAGCCAGCAAAGATGAAGGGAAGGATTCTAAAGCCATTGAGAAAACGCTGACTGTTTTTTCCAAGGTTCGTGTGTTGCTGACCACAGAGAGTCTCACCGAAGAAAAGGGCGAGAAAAGCAAGCACGTTAAAGTCTTTGCACGACTGATTCCACCAGATGGAGCTGTTGGTTTTGAGGTGAAGCCTAAGTCCTCTAATACACGTAGTATAAAGATTGCACAAGAAATATCTGAACCTCAAGACGTTAAGAAGCAACTGTTCACTGAAAAGGCTGAAGACTGCACCATCAAAAGCTCTGGGATTGAATGTGATGGGGTTGTGAGCGTCAAAGAAGAAGGACAAGGGGATAATGGGAGCGATAGTGATGATGTAATAGTCGAAGAAGAAGAAATAATAGACTAAGAAGAAACTGTCCTAAACACATCTGTAAGACGCATTTTGTTTCTTTTATAAGCTTTAAAGCGAAGGACATTGAATTGAACATTTTAGTTATTATATTTTAAGTTCGTAGGAAAACTAATGTATTTTTATTCTTATTCTTTTTGAGCTTTTTTGTGTATTCAACTTGATTTGACAGATCAGTATTTTCATTCATTTTATCTAGTAAGGAATTTTCGCAACCAGAATTATTAAGACCCCTTTCTTAGTTGTAAAGTAAAATTCTAAATTATACTAGAGTGCATACAATAAAACCGTGAAACACTTTGTAAACAATTGCACAAGTTTGCACGAATTGAGTAAGTTCAGGAAATAGAGCCATGAAAAAATTAACTAACACAATTGTACAAATTATCGCAAAGGTTCGTAGTTCTACGCCGGGTTTACTGAACTTATTAATCTGTGCAAATTTGTGCAATTTCTTACAGTATCTTTCACAATTTATATGGTATGTACTCAACCGTATACCTACAAATCTTTGTACTAATTCGTACAATTTTACTAGTAGCTTTTTCACGGATATATTGTATGATCTCTAATATCTATTGAAAAAATATTWAAAAATGGGGGTCACCGACTTCTTAGGAGAGCCAGAAGACGTCAAAGTGCTCCCTGCTATTTCACGATGAAAATCGCTAAAGATCAAGTTGACGTACTTCGTAAACAAGAGGCATTTTTGGTCGAAAAAATGAAAGATTTCCTAAGATATTTCTTTTAAAAACTGTCTCCTAAGACATTAAAGAATAATATYATGTAGAAATATTTGTTGAAATATGAAAATAATGTATATCTTTAGGTCTCAAACCTCATTTCATCCTGCGGTATTCGGTGATGCTTTGGCCTGCACTTTCGAACTAAACATTTTCTCAAAACTTTCCCATGCTTTTTTCTTCAAATTTTTATGATTCTTTTCAAATATATGAAAGAAAATATGTAGGTCTTCGAATTATTTCGGGGATATTTTGCAACGAAGAAGTGGAAAATTGGTTTCCTTGATGTTTTGCCCATCAAAACATTGGAATGACGTCATCAAGATTAGAGCGCGCGCACTACTCATGCGTAGAAAGGCTGCGCGTGAACAATGCGAGTGAACGTCCTTAATAGTAATCATAAAAAAAATGAATGCGAGTCAGAGCAAGAACAAATGAGCTATTTCTTCATCAGGCAAAGGAGAAGCAAAGTTTGATACGCCACTGAAATTAAATATCGTAAAAAGATACGCGTTTGTGCGAAGGGCACTATTTTTGGTCATCTTTATCACTTTCTTGAATCAATTCATCGTTCTACCAGGGTTAAGATTATCATCATCGGTATCATCTTCCAAGACTAGTTCTTGGACTTTTTGAATAAATTGGCAATCCATAATCGGCTTCAAACTACTGTCTGCTATCTTGAAAAATATACTCATTCCCAGCTCCGCATCACACTTTTTCTCTTGCTCGGAGCAGGCCGTTACCCCGTCCTATCTAATTAGCGCCCTGGACTAACGGAATTCCCAACTTTTTTCGATTAATACTGTCATGAGATCAAAGTGGATAAATATAATCTTTTAATCATACATCCTGCTCGATAGATTTTATGCGACAGCATAATATTTGATTATTGACTCTATGATGATGGTTATGACGATTATGATATTCATATAGCGCTCTTTTCCATATGGATATGTTCAAAGGCGCTTTACAATGATACATCCGTTGTCGATCTTATTCTTCATTTTACAACGGGAGGTCTTTTACTGTATTTCGGCACTATCTTTGCTTTAGTCTTAATAGTTGAAGATAAGCCAAGCTTTCTGACCTTTTATACTGATCTTAAATTAGAAAAGTAGTAATAAATTATGCGTTCGGTGGGTGTAATGAAATAGAGAGAATAAGAGAAAAAGAGAAAAATGCCTTGGGCATTTGATTTTTTTCTCTTATTCTCTCTATTAAATTAGAAAACAACACTTAGGATTCTGAACAAGTCGTTTTAGTCAAACACGTTCAATGCATGTTTCGAGAGATAAACTGCCATCTTCAGTGACAAAGAATACATCGATGGGAGAAGCTATATATATATATATATATATATACAGCCATTTGCAAAAATTATGGCCGTTTCAAATATAAATACAAGTATATCGAAAGTATATCAGACTTAGGATTCTGAACAAGTCGTTTTAGTCAAACA